TTTTGATTTTGTTCCTAACTGGACTGCTATAAATGTAATACAATATCTCGAGGAGAAGAATATATCCACTAAAACCAACAAACAAACTTTTCATACGATTTCTATTATTTCAGTAGCGATTATTAAATACTAGCGACCCCTGCTTCGCACGGGTGCAATATGCATGTGTTATACATGTAAACATTCCTTAAAAATGTAAAAATCACCTTATCTATTAAAAAAAACCGGATGAAAATCCGTTACGTAGTTTTAAACATCTATTTATACATAGGGACAGACAGACGGCGGATATGGACTTTGTTTTATACGATGTAGTGAAAACGCATGTTGATCGTCAGTACCACTGAGTATCAAGATTGCATACAATCTTTTTATGAATGGAAATCAAAAGTTCGATAAATTTGACCTTCAATTTGATGGTTTGTCTAACCGGTGATTACTATATATGGCTATCTCGCAGATACTCATTGTAACAAACTATTATTTTTGTAGTCAATCTGATATTATTTTGTAGATATATTAGATGTAAAGCTGCCTTGAATAAATAGAAAAGATTTACAACATATCATAGAACTGCTATAGTATTTGTTTTATTTAGGTACTAAAACCTTCGAAACTACAACTCGTGCTCTTGCACAAGTTGTACTGTTTTACTTCTTCTCAAAAGTAGACACTCATCACACTTACACCAATATGTCCCCTTTGAGTACCGTCATTATAGACACAATTAAAGAACAATAGGTGTACGGACACCGGTGTCCTCGCAGTGTTTAACAGTTTAACATAATACTATGACAATTTCGAATTAAACCCATTTTTATACCTACAACATACCGACTTATGTACAAAAACAAAACGTCTATTAAATTCCTTAATTTTAATTTAATTAACATTTATTTTAAATCACAATGTCTTCTAATACTTAACGACTTCAAAGGAGCAAACTGGTCACCTGATTTTTTTTTTTAGTGGGTAAATCATCGAATGACTTCTCCGGCCTGAGTGAGGTGGGAGGGAGTGTCAAACTCTTACTGTCTAAAAACCACCCCGTTTCTACTCCTGCACTTCGAGCAGGAGCCCTAGATACTCGTTAAGTTCTCCGCGGCTCCGAAACGGCATCAGCCCTATTGGGCTTCATCTGTGGTGGTCTGATGGCTCTTGGAGGCACTCGCGGAATGCGACGCGCCGCACGTTCGACGGATCACCTAATGGTAAGCAATTCTCAGTTAATAGATACTCGCTACGGTAGAGTGTTCGCAATAATTAACTAACATGAAGGGATAACACAGAAACTAGTGCTCAAGTAAAGGTCTAATAATAATGTTACCTAAATAATTTCTCTATTACGAAAACTATAATGAAGCAGGAAGAAAATTGTAGCACCAACACCACCATTATTACTGACCATAGCTTTGAGCGCTAAATTGCTAAATAATAGCTCGTTCTATACTTAATGCACTCTAATTATGCCACAATGTTTGACTTGCATAAACAAATATTGGTTGCAAATGTTGGCTGATAAGGGCCAACTGTGTGTTTCCTACAATAATACTTTTTCTATTGTTTCTATTTATTAGTTGTAATTGCAACTTTTCTAAATAAAAAGCAATTGACACGCTCGAAATGACAAAGACAAATGCATATCGTGTTCTCCTTCCATTTAATTTCCTTTTGCTACGTTGAGGGCAGAAAAACAAATGACACGTCAATTGTAGAAAGATTGTCAAGGGTAAAAAACATATTGTGTTCTCTTTTTAAAAAAACAATTGACACGTCACATTGCTCTTTCATTGAATGGATTGAAAGGGTGCCTGCCGAAATAAGACCCAAAAATAAACTAAGTATAAGAAAATAATTCAATTCATTCACTGATTATCTTTTTAATTTCATTAATTTACTTACTAATTAACTATTTAATTTAAGTATATAAGGTTATATATTTTAATTCTTTAAATTCTCATTCATAACGAGAACAACACCGATGCGACCGCTAACGCTAGCCAGTAAGCTGCGCGACATCACCGCGACCGCACACGCTGCTCATAAGGAAGAACCCCTGTGTGGTTCGAAACTAGTAGAGCTTGTCTCAGTATATTTACTTGAGAAACCTTAATTTATTTAGTTAATTTAGTATGACTCACGATAGCTATTTAAAAAAAATAACAAGTAGTCTGAAATTGGGTGATTTCCCGAGTCAAAAACAATTTTTGAAGTTATGAATACAATATAATAATATAGAAAATTGTAGTATGACGTAGATACCTAAGTACACATTTTTATAGATATACACGTTGGTTAAAATTGCAACCATTGAGTACCTCACATACACATACTACATACATAACTATGTATATCTATAGGTAAATCACAGTGCACGAACATGAAACTAAACTATTAAGACAAAGCTGAACGCCACCATCAATTACATCAACAGTCAAAACGGCACACTTTAATGTAAACCTTATGGCTAATAAAGTCAAGATTGAAAATACCGATAGCGTCCATAATGAAAGAAGGATGAAGATCTTAATCTTTTTGACGCTAGTGGCTAGACATATTATAAGTTATTTCGTTAAAACAAAGTTTGTATTATAATTTTAGTTTCACATAACATAACATCACGCCTTTTATCCCCGAAGGGGTAGGGAGAGGTGCACATTACGGCAGTTAATGCCACTGTACAATGTAACACCCACTTTACACTATTTATGTTATGAGTCCCATGTAATAGGGGGTGAGCCTATTGCCATATACCGGGCACATTTCCAGACTTCGTGCTACTACTGAGGTTTTTACAAACTCAGTAATACTTTTCCCGACCCGGGAGGGTTCGATTCCCGACCACTCGGTCTTATGCACGTCTCTGTTATCCTATTTACTAGTATTAGTAGTAACACAACAAGCGTAAGTAATTTTGTTCTCCTTAAAAGTAACAAAACACCATCTCTTTCTAACAAATCTTTGCTTTCACACCAAAAAAAAAGAAAAATACCAAAACTTAATTACTGTGTTATTATTCTATTGTCACTTTGTTATACTCTGTCGTTTCTTTGTGGTTTTTTTTTCTATAGCTATATAAATATTGTGTATTTATTTGTTCTTTTCTTTTTTAATTTTGTATTTTTTTGTGTCTATGTGCGTGCCTAAGGTCGAATAAATGTTTTTTTTTTTCTTACTTTCTTTCAAAAAGAGAAAATAATAATTCAAAACAATTCAAACGTTAGAAAAAGAAATGGCGGCGTTAAAGGAGCGTGGAATCGTGTCTGCAATACATAGTGGTCGACAGGGGTTCCCACTTACCATCCGATGTTTTATTGATGCGCCACCAAAGCCTGCCATTAAAATTTCATTGCTTTATCATTCAACATCCGTAATATGTATGAGAACAGTAATTGCTTACATGATTTTTCAACCATTCTAACAATCCACGATGATTTTCATACGTTTGTGAGAGGAAATTAAAATGCATTTGTCTGATACTTTTTCTGTTGCACTGTGGTTATTGTTTCAAAGTAATGAATGAAAGCGTTTAAAGGGTAGTGCAAAGTTGAGTGGTTTTAATTTTAATTTGAGCTGAGCCTTTGATTACGTCGGGTTAAACAATAAGGCCGAAAAGAAAACTATAAGATTGTGTAAGATTGCGAAATAATGCCGAAAAACTTACCTATGTGGGTCTTTTTATTTTTGCATACGTATAACGTACTCTATTCTCTCATTACCATCATCATCATATCAGCCACAGAACATCTACTGCTGAACATAGAATTCCCCGAAATACGTACTCCACATCAATGCATTTACAAAGTATCAGCGCATTTACAGCTAAATCTATTACCTTCACGAACAATACAATTACTAAACACAAAAGAGTACTTCCATCCAATTCGTCGACACTACCCAAAACCCAAAACAAATCAACGGACACAATCTGTTTCGAGTGCCATACGATTGAGGTCACACCCACACACTAGACTGAATCGCATGTAGGCACTCGCTAACCGACGCTAATATTTTAAAACAGTTCATTGACAGACCAAGTTGCAATCGCAACAAACATACGTACCGAATAAATTCTCAGAACGATTACGCAACAAATCTAGTGTGTACAACTGATATATCGATGTTTAGACTCCCAGGCGACAGTAACAAACGCAACCGCCTATTGCCCACCCATTGGGAGTCGATTATTCATATTTATCGATACCCGGCTAACGAGCATCCATCTGTTTGCGGTGTGATATGAATAAAACATCGATTGTTCACAATACGCCGCCTCTATACCGAAAACGCAAGCTCATGTAATTACAGGATAATTTTATTAACGAAAACAATCAGGGGGATATGATAAATTGAAGATTATGAAAGCAATATTCATGATGATTCTCAATGAAAATTTGAATTCAATGAATGGATATTATCGATACTTACTGAGACGTGAGTAAATGATGTGTACACACTTGAAAAAGAATGTACTGAACCAACTTAATAATTATATTGGATTTATAAGTAGCTTATAACGATTAAATCACGAGAAAATAAATTATACTCATTTTATGTATTAATATTGAACGACTAAGTGTAGATAATAATTTAATATCTCCATGTGCTTATACGGTGACGAGATAATTTACACAAATTATGTTGCAGAAACAAAAAAAATCTACAGCTATCATTGACCAAACCCTTATAGAGGTTTAACTACCATAGAAGTAAAAATATTCACATACATACTTGTTGGAAGTATTCCAAACTTAGTAATTCATGTTTTACATTAACTACAATGAAAGTATGGAGTTGCGAATAACCGCTCGTTCCACCTTTACGATGTGTTATTAAAGGCAAAGGTTAAGCTCAGTTTAAGGTCTCAAACTGGTTAAGCAGCTGTTATGAAGTGATGCATAACCCATTGTTCAATAAGGGTGAAATTATTTAAGCGTTGGATGTATAAAAGCCTGCAGCTTTTGACGATATTGACAGTCATTGATTAAAGGTTAAGGAAAATGAACGGCAAGATGATACACAAGGTGAGTTTATCAGGACAAAGGAATAAAATATTATTAAAAAACATGAAATAATATTTTGCCTCTTTATAATTTATATTTCGTTGCTTACAGGTACTACTAATGCTCTGCTCCTTCGCTCTAGTCAGAGCAGGAATAATTGCTACCGACGGGGTAACTTATTCATCAATATCCACACCAGTCGTCAAAACAATTCCAAGCCACGTTGTTGAGAAAACTGTGACGTCACCAATAGCTTACACCAAAATAATTCAGCCACCTCCAGCGTATCACTCCATAGTGTCTACTAAAGAAAGCAACTATGAAAGCCCAGATGGTACTCAACATACAACATTTACAAAATCTTCGGATACAGACTACGCAAGTGTCAAGAAATATGAATCGAGCAATAATGTTGGTGCATCTAATTTCATACCAAGCATCTACTCTTCGGCAAGCCATTCTCCCGTAGTGTATCACCAAGAACCAGCATATGAGTTGTCTTCTCCTTTTGTATCTAAAACTGTATCAGTTCCTGTGTCTTATAGTACACATGAAGTTCCTTTAACTAAAACGGTTGTATCACCACCTTTATCTTCATACTCAACACTTGATAACACTAAGTTTGCTTCTTCAGGTTTATCATCTTATTCGTCAAATCCACCTGTAGTCGAGTCTCAACCACTTAAAACTACTATAACATACTCAGAAGCTCCATTAGTTTCTCACATGTCGTTCACAGGTTTAGGAGCAAGTTATGCTTGGTAAATTACTAAAATACTCAAATGGAATGCGCGACTGACTGCTTGATTAAGTTTAATGTATGTTTAAAATGTTATGTTTATGTAAGGTAAAATTGTGTCTCATAAAATAAATATGTTTGCATCGTATTTGTGACTCATTTTTCTAGGAAGCTTTCCTTTTGCTAATTGTTTGAACCTTGGATGTGAACAGAAATCTTTATAAACAAACATTTGCTTTAGAAGTCGGTAACATTTCACACGTCCAATTTCTACATTCCACACGATAATTATTAGGCAATGTACTAACTTTGAATCACGCCATTAGGTTCTAAGCTCCAGTCTAGACCAATTCAACATTCTAGTCGATTAGTTGTTGTACAATTACTTTTCTTTGGAATTAAAATGTCGCTTATATACATACTTACTTCAAAATACAATCTAAATAACCGCATATGGCATAACAATATTATATTCGTTTGATATGCGATCTATTTCTTTCCGAGTCTTGACTAGATTTGGTTTCAAATATCTTAACCCCCATAAAGACGTGGACATAAATGCACGCCTACCCTACGCCTACAACACAAATTGTATTGTACAGGACAGTGCAGTCATCCTATCCTACGATACATAAATATATTATATATTTATTTTAATATTATAAGTGCGAAACTTTGTGAGGATGTATGAGTGTGCATGTGTGTGTGTTTGTTACTATTTCACGCAAAAACTACTGATCGGATTTGGGTCTTTTTATTCCACGAGTACGCGACGTGGCTGCCAGAAGCTACTGGTTATATATATTACCATAATTATTATTATACCATAATTAAGCACCTTAACAATTCCAAACTCCTATCATCTAAAACAAAAATAGAATACATGCAACCAAAAACCAAACAACAAGCAAATATTTATTGAAATCTGATTCGTGGAACACTTTTCACACAAATAGTAGCAACAAAACAGTAACAGTATTATTTTCAATCAAAAGCCGGGCTATTATTTAGACCAATTCGTAATGAAGCTTCACAACGGATGATAAATAAAAGTTAGTTAAATCTATATTTAGCGCATGAAATACGGCGCGTCAAAACGTTTCAATATTTCAACTGAAAATAGAATATTCATTTAGAGCTTAATCCGTTTTAGGCAAAGCCTGACAACGTCCTACGCATTGTACGAAATTTTATATCTATGTAGTTATATTTACGGCGAAACTTGACTTAAATAATATTTGTATGTATGTGAATATTATCATTTGAAAACAATTACTTAGGTACTGCTAGAATCAAAATTCGAATTTCGAGTAGAATATTTTAAACTTCTCTAGAAGTGTACAATGCACACAAAAATTTTGCTGCATATCCCTAATAAAATGTAGCCTTTGACTCAACCAAAGTTAATTTAAAATAGGATATGTATAAAATTCATAACTTTAAAAAGGAACTTGTGCATCTTTCAAACATTTTTTGTGACGGTATTGACAAACTGCTGGACGCGTTAGAGAGAGCACATCGAGAGGCGTGTCAAAAGGCTCATAACGAATCATCGTTAAGCGCATCAGCGCTTGTGGGGGCCCGGTTTCAAAGCCTCGAACACAGGCATAAGGTTGGAAGCCTTTCGGTTTTCTACCGGATGTATTTCGGTGAGTGTGCGGGGGAAATTCATAACTTGATTCCCTATAGTCCTTTCCATCATCGTAACACAAGATTTTCGGGGAAGCGTCACTGATTCATGGACCCACTCACACGCACGAAGCTCTTCGCATCTTGCTTCCTAGTGCTTACAGTGGGACTCTTTGCTAGAGTCTGTATTTCCTGAATGGTATAACCTGAGTGTATTCAAGGGCTGAGTGAATAGGTTGCTTATGGGACGACGTGTTCTATACTTCTATCGTAGACCGTATCATCGCTTACCACCAGGCGAGATAGTGTTCAAACGTAGGCCAATTAAATATAAAACAAACTGCATCAAAATCTCTCTCTGCTTCAATAAATAAACTCAAAAAACCTACTTAATAAATCACTAACGCACATTTCAAAAGCTGCATAACATTTTCGATATTTACCTACACTAAAGTATCCTGTTAGATTAGCCACACGTGCGTCACAATCTATGATCAGATTACCACACGAGGCGGGTCCAATCGGTGGTTGGTCACAATAGGTGAGTGGTCACAGTACCGGACTTGATAAAGATGTATTGTGGCCAGCATTTACGTTACATATACGCGAGACTTGCTCACGATTGACCTGTCCATGTGCGTTGCAAAACGTAACTTAAGCCAGGTACACATGGATGGTAATGCGATGTATGGACTTGTCTAGGTTTGAAGGTATAGAAGAAACTTGTTATTAGGTAAGCGTAGGTCTATTGAGCTGACTGCGATAATTTGTCACTTCCAGTGGATTATTTCTAACTGGAAAAGAACAATAATGAGCAAAAAGTTATGTTGTTCCATCATCAATAACACGATTACTATCGTCATATAAAGTTACCATTACTGCCAGAATGGATGGGTTTATTAAAATAAATATTTTGTACCAACATTGGCCCACCAAAAACAAAAAGTTTCAATGTGAATTCACGTGGGCGAGTGATATTTCATCGTGACATCTGTCATGTTATGCGACTATGTGACGACTTGGAATATCTCGGCCAAGCATCTTTACCTTGGAAAATAAACACGATATGTATCATTTTTGACTACAGTTTTGACTTTAACAAGGTCTAGTACAAAGGAACTAGGGAAGCATGTTTTCTTGAATGAAGTAAGATAACATTAAGGTTTATATTCCCCGATAGACAAGAACTAGGTAATAATAGTTTGACCTACCTGAAAATCAAACTCGAAACCTCTGCACAGTCTCCTCCTTTTGCGAAGCAGTTATGCTAGCTAAGGAGGAGACGGGAGGCGTGAGGCAGCGAAACGCAGCCTTCTCGCAACCCAGCCATCGCGAAGGACACTCCTGGCGTCGGGGATCGCGGGACGATCTCCGGCCACCGTAAGCGCGGGCCTGCGCACGGCGAGCATGGGCGGCTCACCGTCCGACCAGAACCAGACCCGAGCGTACACACTCCCTCCCGCCTCACCCAGGCGGGAGCAGTCATTAGAAGATTTTGCCCCCTTAAAAAAACCTCTGTATTAACCTGTGTATCAATCATTAATTGTACCTACAAACAATAAAAATAGGTGCCTCGCTCTTTCTTAAAATTACTCAAATTTAACTAACGTTTTAAGTATTAAACTTAAAACTACCAGACGAATACCGAATCACGTTTCCGACCTGCCCCAACCGAATATTCAATCATAGTCACTCATGCAATTACAACTACTGACAAAAACCTGTAATGAAATAAACAGAACGGATGATTAGCTCGCCGCATCGTTAATGTGGGAATTAAATAAAATCATAGCATCACATCCCTATCCCATCCCTACATTGAGTAAGTAAAGGTAGAAGATGGTCAATTAGTGGATGGGTAGATTATTTAGAAACAAAATACCTATATGTATTTGTGTCAACTCCAAGTAGCTTGGGATAAATGATGAAGACAGAAAGAAGACAATCTCCCCAATCCCCAAATCCCCAAAAATCCTCAAATTCCTTATCCCAAAAGGCTGGAATCCGTCGATTGCTTACCATCAGGTGGTCCATTTGCTCGTTTACCGACTTATTCGATAAAAAAGAAGAAAAAAAGGTAAAACAAGATGTAATATGTTCATTATGTATAATACCTATTTGTTGGAAAATTATAATTTTAGGCTGCTATTACGGAGAACTTTAGGAACAGCAAACTCACCACGCATAGAATTCCATGCTCAACAACCTACTTAAGCGCGATTTGTCGTAAAAATCATAGTCACAGACTTTTTTTATCTTTTAGTTATCTTAGTAACTAAAAGAGTAGTATCTTAAGTGGTATATATTTTTTTCCCTTTCTTCTTGTTTTAGTAATAAGAGAGGTCACAAACTTGAATATCATCCAACTAAATCCTAGGCGATCTAGATACATGTACACCGGCCTTTTGAAATACCAGTATATTGCCCTTAAACAAAAGCACTAGACTATACAGACTTGCATAACTGAGATACTAAAGTTTCATATGAAACTGTATGCACGCCACAACTAATCTAGGCTGTCGTAAAGTTTATCTACTGCACGAATCAACACTGTCTAGATAATGCAGGACGTCAAGAAATAAAAGGATTTGTCAGGGTTATTCAATTCGGTTAAAATATATATTAATATGGATCTGCAGATGTGATGTTCTTACAGAAAGATTGTTTCTGTTTTCTTTGTTCCATTTATCTCCCGTTAGAAGTTTTATCAAAATGAGTTTAGCTGTTTAGGAATTGAAAAATAAGATTTCAACTTGCAGGTTCATTGTATCGTCTAGAATTATTAGAAAGATTGTAACGAATCTTTACGGTGACTTCTAATTGTAATTCAGATATCATACAACACAACATTAAAAAAAAATAAGAATCGAGAACGAGTTTTAATCTAGTGAACGCAAATAAATAATGATCTTAACACTGACATTACATTATTGTAAGTCCTAATTTCCCCAAGGACCGTTTCACACAACTCCGTAGATTACAATAAAACATCGTATCACTAAAATGTAAATGTAACGACGGGTCTTACGTCATAGGCGTAAAGTCGGTCAACTCATAATTTGGTCCTAATCTAACCAGACAATGTTGATTACTCCATCTAAATCGATCATGATTGTAATGACCGATAAAATCAAAAGCTTTACCAATATCAGTAGATTTTGAATAAGATAAAGACAGAAGCTGTGCAAACTTAACAATGAAGACAAATTAATTAGCCGTAAGATACTTAAGATTAGTTTGTGAGTGAGTTGCAGGAAATTTGAACCAAGAACTCAAGCTCAGACCATTGACGGAGTCTGGATAGTGATTTCTAAACTAGTTTCTTACTTAATCAGGAACTAAGTAATTAGAAGGAAATATGATTCATTCAACTAACAATAGTTTGTTGTTTGTAATG